CTGCAAACCCTTCTGGCTGGGTGTCGTGCGGATTGCCAAGCGTAATTTCATAGTATTCAATGCACTAGGAGTCGGTCTCTGCAGGACTGGGAGTCTGCAAAGTGCCTGTGATCCTTTGGGATGAATAGTGCTTTATAAAGGTGAGATTACGTTTGATTCGCTCTCAGAACATTCTAACATTTCTTTTACCCACGATGGTATTTTTTATTACTACACCTCTACCCCGACATGACGCGACCTGATATAACACGAATTCGGGTATAACGCAGTAAAGCAGCGCTCTGGCAGGGGGGGACGGGGCTGCGTGCTCCGGCGGATCAAAGCAAGTTCAATATAACACGGTTTCACCTATAATGCGGTAAGATTTTTTGGCTCCCGAGGGCAGCCTTCTACCGAGGTAGAGGTGTATTTACATTTATCTCTGAGAGATGGACTGAACCGAAATCATCCATAAAATAAAATTGCCCATCTTATCTCATTAAAGTGTAGCAAGGAGGAAGCAGATATGCCCGCTGCAAGCGGGATTGTTGAAATACTTGTCCGTGGGCTGGGAGATAAGGCTCCCACACGGGTAAACGTAACAGAGCCAGAGGACCAGACACCCAACGCTCCAATTGCTCACTGTCAGATATTTAGAATTGCCCCCCCCCAAAAAAGAATCACACAATATTGTGTTGGACACACTTCTCTGTAGGGCCATTTGCAAAACCCACGGAAGACAAGGGGAGGCTTTCCAGAGACCTCAGTGGGCTCCTAGAGAACAGGTCAAGTTGAGAGGTGAAAAGGATAGAAAGTGGAATATCAGAGTGCGGCCAATACCACGCTACCACTGCTGGACCGTTTCGTCTACACTGGGCACACTCTGTCATGCTGCCTTTAGCGCTAGGCCACAGACTTGACTGGCTGACTATTCAGAGGAGAGTCCTAAAGCAGGGAAGAGCTCTAGTCACCAATCCCCATTGCTAGGAGGGATTGAATAGGTCGTGAAAGGGGAAATGCGCTGCTAAGTGTGTGTCAGGGTTTCTCCGCTTTGGTTGGGGAAAGTCAAACCTTTAGTGATACAGGAATGTCTGGGTGTGCTCATTTGTCCAAGATGATTTTAGCAGCAGCTCAAAAAGGGAAGAAAAAGAAATCTTTGAAGAAAAAAGGCAGAATTCTGTAAATTAGCAAAGATAACGAAGAAGAAATAAAGAGACCGACTAGAAGAGCAGGAGCGGACTCAGATGAAGCAGCCAAAGCATCTTGTAAAATGCAGATCAGGAAGAAAGACAGACAGATAACATCATCGTGTGAAACACCAGTACCCAGTGTCCTGCCAAAAGTTTTGACACGGACAGGGCTTATTAACTAACTTACTCTCTTGGCAGCCTAGAGTACACAGAAGAAATGAAAGATGAAGTCACAAAACCAGAGCATGTGCCCACCGGGAGCAGCGTGTGTAAAAGGCTGTGTGAGCGTCAGAGCCCCGGGGTAGGGGGGTTAGTCAGAGGCTGGTCAGAAGCACGTGGCTCAAGAGACTTTTTTATATTCTTGGGCTCCTAACAAACCCTGCAAGTGCAGGGGCTGTGTGCATCCATTGCAGTGCTGCAGGTGGGACAGGAATTGGGTGCAGCTGTTTCTCTTCTTTTTCTTTACATAAATCCCATTTCTTTCTCTTTCATTTTAATCCTTCTCCATTTCTTTCCCTTCTTTGGTTTTTAAATTTAAGCCTTCATTTGTTTGTCTTCAAGTTACTTGGTGATATCAAATTTTTTCCCAAGTTCAGGAAAAATATTAAATGCTCAAAAAATTGTAAAAGTCCCAGATTTGGTGAGATTAATTCCTAGCAAACTAGGAATTACTAGCTCCATCTCCCTGATGTGGGGAGATTGGTTGCACTTTGTCACATGAAGAATCAGTTAAAAGGGAACGCAGGTTTGCATGACTCATCTCCTTCTGCTGGTACATCGTTCTAATCTGGGCTGGCCCTTTCTGTAGCATCTCTGTTAAACGCTGCAAGGGGCCACCTCCCCTAGAGTCTCCTGCCTCCTCTTTAAAATGGTCCCCTGCTGCAGTGAGAGACCCATACAAACGAGAAACTAACTGATTAAGGGGCAACATACACTGGTCGTGTTAAGGAAGAATCTTTCCTTCTGGGCAGGTTGTTCCAGAATTGTCTATTTGGGAGTTTTCACACCTTCCCCTGTAATATCTGGTGCTGGCTACTGGTTGAGACAGGACACGGGAATCGCTGGATCATGGGATTAGGTTGGATGAATTTCAGGGTTTCATGACAGTGCCGTGAAGGATATCCACCCCATAGAGGGAAGTGCAGAGGAGTGAAATGTTGGGTGCTGGATAAGCATTGTACAGTACAAATTTGATAGGAATGTAAAAGATCTGGATTGTGTCCACAGGAAACATATTGTGTGTGTGTGTGTGTGTGTAAACCTATGGTGTATATATAACACAGTACAGTGTAGAGAGCAAGCACACATAGCAAACTTTGCAGCCAATATAAACACCAAAAGTTGATTACAGTGTTGTCTGTGTTACACCAGGTTGTTTTTACTAAGAAATTAAAATATGGTGATGGATTTGATCTCAGCAAGAGAACTGAAGCAAAGGTCCAGACTCTGCTGGAAGGACGTTGTACGAATGAATCTGAAGTGAAGAGTGACTGGACT